GGAATAAATGATAATTTGGGCAGCACTTCGGCTCTAAATATGACTTTCTGTGACAAAACCGGGGATTTTAGTTGAAAACCGGGCTTTACTCGGGCAGAGTTTCGACTTGAAAATATGATTTTCTCAGAAACTTCGGAGCGTCGGGACTTGCTTCGGGTGTCGGGGATGATATCGGGACTTCGGGGGGTTAAACGTAGGTAGAGAAGAAGTAGAGAGTGAGAGAGAATAGATTTTGTAAACAAAAAAACCTGGAGGTCTTGCTCACTATTTATAGGGCTGAAACCCGAATTACGATGGGCGTAATCTTCAAGTACGCAGGGCGTACTGCCCTGATAGCCTCTTCGTTGGGCGTACACTCTATTACGCGAGGCGTAATGTATTGTGGCTCAGTACGCTGGGTGTACACCTAGTACGCTGCATGTAGCGTGATGTGTGGCATCGGACGTGTTGAGTCCGTATGATACGTGTCGTATGCGAGAGTTTGGGTGACGTGGCCAATCTTGGACCATGAACACGAGTACGCTGGGCGTACTCCGAACTTCCAAACTTCAAAAATTCGTAACTTTCGCGTACGAGTTCCGTTTTTGACATTCTTTATATCCACGCGTAGGTTAGATTATACTCTACAACTTTCGTTTAGACTCCGTTGGCTAATTTTGACTTTATTTTTTAAGTTATATTTTTAACATGCCGGGACTGGATAAGTCCGTTAAAAATTCATAACTTCTTCATCTGACGTCCGTTTTCTTCTGTCTTTTTACCGTTGAACTACAATCGACGAGATCTTCGATTCTCATTTAGGTTGTGTTGGCTAAAAGTCACTCGATCTTTATTTCGAGTTTTTAGCTGTCTACTGCTATACCGAATCTTATAAAAATAATAACTTCCTCATACGATGTTAGATTTGGACGTTCTTTTTATGGAAATTCTCGGTTTAACGAATACTACGACTTTCATTTAGATCATAAAGGCTAAAAAGTAGTTTATCGAAAACTCACTTTTTATGTCATATGGCGTTGTGCCGGTTCTGTCGCGAAACTTCAAATAGTCATAACTTCATCGTTATAACTCAGATTTCGATGAGGTTTTCGCCTAAATGTTTCTAACGAGGTTCTTTACAATTTTCAATAATAAAATTTTACTTATTTCAAATTTTATATTTTCATTAAATTTCAATATTTGACATTAGATTGGAATCTCATAAGACTTCCAATATTTTCCGAGTGATTCTAAACATAGTTTTACTTCATTTCTAGTAAAAACTATCTGTTAGAACTCAACGCTCAAAATCACATAATATTTTATAATATTATTCATTTTTAAAAGTTACAAAACACGATAACTGAACGTGTATGTTACAGTGAATCTCTTAAAAATGTTTTCCAAGTTGATTACCACTTTCGCTTGTTTTCACTATGCACAAAAAAGTGAAAAGATTCACCATGTGTATGTGTACATCACTTGGTGAACCTCAACGTGTTTTGGTATGAAATGTAAGGATTCACATTGTGAATCTTCGACCCAACTCGTCGAGTTCCTCTATGAACTCGTCGAGTTCTTTAGTCTGTTAGCCCTTTTTAATGCATTAAGCCCTTATTATTTAGATCTACACTCTATACTCCAGATCTAGACTGAAAATGCTTCTAGGAGGGTAAAGTTTCCAACTTTACCCATTAATACCTTTCCTAAATGGATTAAGCTCAAACCCTAACCCAAAAAGGCCAAAGTCTTAATACCAAATACCACCAAAACTACAAGATAGACCATGAGGTCATAGATCTGGACTCTTGGGACAAGAAGATCACGTAAAGTCGCAGCTTTCTCTACATGCATGGCCATTAGAAGCTCCAAAAGGCCAAAATGATGGGTTGCATGGGACTTCCATGGCCATAAAGTTGGCACATTTATGCCATGAAAACCCCTCAAGACCATAAATCTGAAGTGTAAACCCATTTGGGACGTCCAACTCCCAAGTACCATGATATTTGGACCAAAACCAATCAAAATAACCCTAAAAGAAGATCTAAACAACTACAAAGCAAGGTTCAAGCTTTATACCAGCAAAATGTCGTCGATGAGGCAAGGATTCTGGATCTATAAGCTCCTTCTTGTGTCCTCAAGCTTTTCCTTCTTCCAATGGCTTCAAGCACACACTAAAACACTTAAATGGCTCACGAACACTCACAATAGCATTAGGGTTTCGAGATCTAGGGTTAGGGACTTGGAGGCTGGAAATGAGGCCAACACATTGGGGTTAAGGTGTTTAAATAGGGTGCAAACCCCGAAAATTAGGGTTTCATATCTGCCATCCTACTCGTCGAGTTGAGGCCTCCCAACTCGTTGAGTAGGTCTCCTAAAGTACGCGGTTTCATTAAATCTCTACTCGACGAGTCTGGGGCTACCAACTTGTCGAGTTGCTCTGTAATTATGAATAAATTATAATTTAAATGCATACCAGGAACCAGGCATTACAATGTCTTTGCTTCTCCATTGCACTATCAAATGACATCATAAACTTCACTAAATTTGATTTATGATGCAAAAAATGTGAGAAATCATAATTCAGGCTCTCTGATCTTGAAGTAGTTCGCATCAAACCAGAAACTTCAAGATCTCTCATAAAAGCCGGAATCCATAAATCCCTTATTTTAAAAACAGTCTTTAACCAGTCATTTTCTTTGAGATGAAACTTATCTAACATTGTTGACCAGGAACTTTCAAAATATTGTGGAGAACATTGAAGATTCCATATAATATTAAAAAGGTCTTTTGGAAGTCCGGATGGTTATAAACATCGATAGGAATCTAAAAAAAGGAAACACATAAGAATCGTTAATTAAGTTGAATATTTGATGTAGTTCATAGTAACATAATTTTTTTTTCACAATGTGATTTATGATTTAGATTTTTTTCTTTCATCATATGAAAATTTACATTGTGAATTCACAGTTTGCTTTATGATCTAGATGGTTATAAACATATATAGGAATCAAGAAACAAAGAATATACATTTTCCTCAAGTTTTTGAGTGATGTGCCACATGCATAGTCTATGCTTGGATTCAGAAAAAACAAAATTAACAGCTTTCTTGATTGATGAATCCTGATCTGTTACAATCATCATGGGTGGCTTGAAAAATGCTTTACGAAACTCTTCAAGCAACCACACATATGCATCTGCTGTCTCACGAGCTAGTAAACCAACAGAAAAAGTAACACAACACTTGTGATAGTCAACTCCACTAAAAAGAACAAATACCATAGAATACCTGATTTTTTTTTTGTTTTGATAAGTATTATTAAAACGAACAAATACCATAAAAAGAACAAATAAGGATTAGGAATTACTTGTTTGTTTGATAAGTGGCATCAACAGATAGTACATCTCCAAATTCCTTATAGTTGGCTTTCAAAGTATCATCAGCCCAAAAAAGTCCAGTAAGATGATCATGAACATCTTTTTGGACCTCAAATGAAAATTTAGAGAAACACAATTTTCTGTTTGTCAATATATCCACAACCATTTGGTAATCTTTGACACCAATTTTAGAATTCAAATCTCTATGAAATTTTTTGAAGTCGACTGCAGTCCCTCCCCTAGAATCAAAGCAACCCTTCATACTACTCACCAAGTTATAAGCTTTTGAAGCACCAATGTTACAAGTACCAACCTTATGTATAAAAGATTCATCAAGAAAATCAATTGTCCGATTAATCCTTAATAAGTGCAACTGATCTTGAGCAACAAGTTCATGGTTGTGATCTTCAACAAACACATAAATGTAGAACATTAAAGAACATCGGAGATTCTTGAACTTTAAAACAACAGGGCATCCATTCTTCTTAGAAGAAGTTCTCATTCTCTTAGCATCTGAAAAGTTCACATTAATATTTTCATTCTTGAACGACTCCGTGAAACCAGATCTACTACATGTGAAATATCTAAGACGAACTGTGCCATCATTGTATCTTTTTGACTTGACATATTCACATCAAAACCATGTTCTTGACCATAAGTCTTGTAAAAGTCAAGACCAATGTCCAACGAATCAAATACCGATCCGTTGAAAGGCTTCTTATGTATCAACTTATCATAACAAACAAGCTTAAAAGACTCAGTATTGTAGAGCTCAAAATCAAATCTATAACGAGAATTACTGCTATTTGAATGATCAATATTCATATTTGAAGATGATTGATCATGAACTGCAAAAGCAAAAAAAACATCTATTTTATTACATTACATAGAAAATGTGAAATTTATATTAAGAAAAAAAACTTACGTGATTGTTCATTAATAGTTGAATGCAAATCTGAACAAGAATTACTGCTATTTGAATGATCAATATTCATACCTGAAGATGACTGATCATGAACTGCAAAAGAAAAAAACATCTATTTTATTACATTACATAGAAAATGTGAAATTTATATTAAGAAAAAAAAACTTACGTGATTGTTCATTAATAGTTGAATGCAAATCTGAACAAAAACTCAGAGAACTCATAATGAATCAGTAACCTAGAGTTTATATAGAGATTAGAATTGATAATGATACAAAAAAGGAAACAAATAAACAAGATAATCACAAAACTTTAAAATATACGCACGAGATAAGATAAGATTCTCAAAATCACTAAAAGTTTGGAGATAATTTAAATGTCGAATATGCACAAGATAGAATTGATTATCTAAATGTCGAAGATGCATTACAGACGAATGATTACAAAAACGACCGAAGGAAAAACAGTAACATCAAACGCATATTCAACATGCGACATAAAATTAGCAAATTAACAATAAAAACATAACTATTTGAAGATTAAACGGTAAAATCATGAGAATTTGACAATCACACGGGTACAATAACAATATAAATAAGTTGATAACAAAGCATCGGAAGAACAACGGTAAAATGAAAATCTATAATTGACCTAATAATCATAAACAAAAGATGAATAGATGTTAAAAATACCTGATTATTAGCTGAAATCTGAAGAAACTATTAGTAAATTGGATGAAAAAGGTTGAGATTTCAAAGAACAGGCGAGAGTATTTTGGATCGATTGGTGGTGAAGATGATGGGCAGTCACAGAAGAAGATAACAGAGACAAACATGACTATTAAATGAGAGCCTAAAATTACCAAAATTCCCCTCCGTGTTTGTTTTGGTTAATTAAGGGTTAATGGCCAAGATTACAAGAAAATAGATGGTTAAGATAGGTTCCTTGGTTCCTTGATCCATATTGGTTCTCTATTGAAATTTTCTCTCTATACAAATGAGAACCACAAAAGAATAAGAACCCTAGGAACCTTTAGTTTTAGTTTTATAATTAAATGTATATTTGTTACCATTTTCGTATACCAATTGTTAAAAAAAATGACATTATTGTAAATAACAACACATCATAGCCTTGTTTCACAAACAACATATAAGATGTTGCAAATTAGATCTAAATGCTAGATCTGTTTCATTTTTCATAGTTCTAAAAAAATCAACCCTTCCATCCTCTCCCTTCTTTTACCACCGACGTCACGAGCCTCCAGCCGTCGTCGCCGCCGATGTTCGCCTGACTACCGCCACTCCGGAATCCAAGTGTGTATTGTCGTTGTTTTCTAGATCTCTGATTTCTGCTCTAGATCCATTGTATCGAACCACCAAAGAACAACCAGATGCATTGCTAGCTTCGTCGTCCTCCACCTCCAGATCTCCGATTTATGCTGATAACCGCCACCACTATCGTTGTCTCATATCAGCGGCGAACCACCTCCTCTTCCTGTCGTCTCTGGTGACGTGATTCCGACCACTTTCTTTTGTGTTTTTTGCTCAAATTTGTTTAGATCTAAATGATTCTGGTGGGTTTTCCTCGTCTCTGATGGTGTTCCTAGTCTAGATCTGGTTAGGTCTACAACCTACGCCTCAGATCTATAACATCCTCCTTCAGATCTGCCATCACACCGTCGCCACCGTTGTTGACCGCTGCTACTGCTGACGACCGCCACCGCCACCACCATTGACCTCTTCTCAAGGTGTTTGATGTATAAGTATAAATCAGGTTAGATCTTATGTGTTGTGCTTATAGATCTGATATGTGTTATGCACACAATATGTTTGATAAATGCTTACCTTCTATTCTATTCTCTTATCAGTTATCTGGTAGAAAAGTATAGAAATAAAATAACTAGAAAAAATATGCATAGAAGGTGTTTGATGAAATGCCTTAATGAAATGATTGTATATTTTAAGTTGTGAATGACTATTTGAAATAATCTATTAAGCTATGAATAGATATCATACTAGTATTTTGTGACTTAGTGTCTGAACTAGTATTTTTTTTACTGGTGTCTTAGTATCCTGAACTGTTTTATTAAATAGTGAATAAGAATCATGAACTGTTTCATTAAACTGTGAATGAGAGTCCTGAACTTTTTATCTTCCTCTCTAGTAGAATGTAATATTATTGAAACTTGAAATACTAAACTACTGTTAAAGTAAACAAATTCAACAATGCTTTATTCCCTTTTATTGTTGGTCCATTTATAAATCTTTAAACTTTAATTTGTTAAAGAAATAACTGGTACAAAACTCTTACGAAAATACAAATAGAAATTTGGATAATCTTTTTTACTTTAAATGCATATTAAATTTATATACGTGTGTATAGAGTAAATTGTCTACATATATTAAATGTATATGTGTGCTTATAAAGTAAACTATCTAGAAAATAATCTTTTGACTTTTTTTCCTAGGTCCAAGCTAAACAATCAATAAGGATGACTCTATTATCACCTCCCTATGTCTTATTTTTCTGAGATATTAATTTTAAATTGTGTACTTCTTTTTCCAAGAAAAAGAGTTACACACAATTATGGTTCATAGTGTAATCAAGTAATCATATCATCATTTGATCTCTTTCTCATTCTTTCTATTATTTCAAATTTATATAATATAATCAATAAAATAATTTTTTATATTATAATTTGATGACTTAGTATTATACTAATCTTTTTAACTTTATATTGATTTACGAGAAATAAAATAAAAATAGTCATGTTATTGACATTTATAAACATAAATATAAATTCTAAGATTTATCATATTTAAATATATTATGATATTTTAAAACAAATAATATAAATTACAAATATTATCCTTATTTATTAAATTTTCGAAGATATATTTGTATACAATTCCTATCGTAAAGTATGAACAAAATAATGTATGTTTAGTTTCATATTTGAGTAAAATAATATTAAAGTTAACTTTTAGTGCAAAATATTATATGTTAATATTTTTTTAAGTAACTTTAAATATAACATAATTTATGTATGTATTAAATTGTGAATGATATATGAGACTATACTTGTAAATGAGCTTTGAATGTATTGTATTAAACTGTGAATTTTTTGTATTAAGCTGTGAATTTTATTGACGACTTAATATATCAAATTCACAATTTAATACATAGAAATGTCTTCATACATGAATGTATAAATGTAAGTTTTACTTTGAGAATATGGCTATGAATATATATTGTGTGTATTAAACTGCGAATTTGTTGCATAAATTCTTGAATTTTGTGTACTAAACTGTGAATTAATTGTATTAAGAGTTTTACGTTGATAATATGATTGTAAATGCATAATTTGTGTATTAAACTGCGGATTTTTTGTATTAAGCTATAAATTTTGTGTATTAAGTTGTGATTTTTGGGTTTTAAACTGTGAATTGACTGCATTAAGCTGTAGATTTTCTGTTTAAACTGTGAATTGACTTTATTAAGATGTGAATTATGTATATTTAACTGTGATTTTTGTGTTATAAATTGTGAATTGATTGCACTAAACTGTGAAATTTCTATTTAAACTGTGAATTTTTTATGAATTTTATATTAAATTATGAATGATTTATGTATGATTGTTTGTACAAATTTCTAGTGAATATATTTATTTTTCTGTTGTTTAAATATGTAAAAATGTATTTGTTTTTATAATTATTTTGCATTAAACTTTGAAAAAGTGAATTAATTGGTTTATTAAATTGTGAATATAGTATTTAACTATCAATCAATGATTTTATATACAGATTTGATTTGGAAGAAATAATGACTGCAACAATGGGACGGGTGGTTGGTGGTGATGTATGATAGTTGGTCGTGGTGGCAGGCGAATTTGAGTTTGACTTCTTTAAATATATAAATTAATATATAATGGATTGTATTATATCATGTTGTGAATTTTATGAATTAAACTAAAAATGGACAATATTAAGTTGTATATTTTATATAAATTTTGTGTTAAACTATGTATGAAGGTATGCATGAAAATATTAAACCGTGTATTAGTGAATTATTATGTTTATTAAACTGTGAATATTTCTTATACACGATATATATTTTTCTAAATAAATCTACAATTTAGAAAAAAGAAAATTGACTTTTTCAAAACATAATTCTATTTTTGCTAAAAGTTTATATATTTTAGCTGGAAAACTAAAAAGTATTACCAAAGAAATGGAAGCTACAACGTTTGTTTTAAGCATTGAATATGGATACAAAACTGCTACTGAATTTAATGTTAATATGGCGGCGGTCTAGCCACCATCCGATGGTGGTCCTAAGATGGTCTGATGGTGGTCTGTCGACAAATGTTAAGTAGTTTGTAAACTATTGAATGAAAAAGTTTGCTTAATACAATATAAATGTTGGATTTGTCTAGAATGCTCTTAATGAAAATATTTAAAATAGTGGTTCTTAGGGTTATTAACTTTTTTTTTTAAGTTCTCATTTGAACCACTTCCTATATATAT